TAGCACTGCCTAATTATGCTTGTTGTTCTTCTATCTCTATGAAAGGAACTATGTGCCATTGTCTCAGTATCCTTCAGGTTCTTTCCCAAATGGTTACTGCAGGTAAGTTCTAGGTTTTTGCTTCACATTGCATATTTATGAGCACCCCGCTTTGACTATTGGGTCAAGCCACGTGAGACATGCCCAACTTGCATCGTATGTTTTCTGTACTTGCATGTGTGATTGTTGCTTCCTTGCTGCCATTGAAGAAACTACATGTCACCTAGGTATCTTTTCCTTCCCCTTCGAAAACCTTAGTGCACTAAATTTAATATTTCCATTTGAAACTGCATATAAATAAAGGGAAGGCGTAATTTTTACACAACGGCCAACCATGTCATGACATAGACCCCCCTGTGCCATTTGGACATTAACCGCGCCCAAATTCATATGGGGGCTAATTTCTGACCGAGTGGAGCGGGGTAGCGCCCCCAATTTTCTGGGGCCCAGAAACTCAGTGCACGCATGCCCTCTTCACCTTCGGTAGTACAGCCCATAAGAGGATCGACTACTCAGCAGCCCATTAATATCATTGCACGCATGTCACTATTTAATCAGATCCTTCTAGGCTTGATCGTTCTTGGGTAAAACTCGTGCTAAATGCCTAAAATAGGGTTTGATCCTCAGACCTCAAAAGAGAAGCATGAAGAAAAAAATTGGCTAGCAACCATTTGAGCATCTGGTCGTGTGCTACTACGAGTAGTTACTTTTTGTTGGCCCTATTTTTGAATTTGGAACATGGCCCCAAATTACGACGGCCCGGCCCTGTCTAGTCCCCTCATAGTTCAACTTCTTACTTGTCTTTTGAGGGTGTGTGACACCTCATCTGCAGCCACGTATCACGACTACAAAATCACCTTTTACGTACGGGCACCTATACCCCTGCATTGACAGGTTTAGCACCTATAACCACTATCCCACCAATGAATGATTGGGTCTCCATTGAAGGGCACATTGTTTGTCAGCAGAGACTGTGCATCACTATCGAGTGAAAAATTTATACCAATCAATAGTGATTTGGTATACTCTTTTTTGCTCGTCGGTGCTGATTTTTGGGAGATTTAAGTCCAATTTTTTTCATGAAGTCTAAACCATCCATTTACATTAATATGAGCTACTGAAATAGAATTGAATGGTGCTTATTTATGGGCTATACATGCCATAATTGAACTCTTTAAGAAGGCCCAAAGGGTGATAAATGTTGGTATCTACTGTACAAGATGACAAGTTATTTAGTATGAATCTATATACCAAAATTTGAAGCTTATATCACTATTATGTTGAAGGAAAACAATTTCATGCAATCGGTAATTTCCAATATTATGAACTTAAAGTTAAGCTTTTTTTAAGGTTTAAGGGGGGCCAATAAGGTTTGAGGAGAAGGAAAACAAGAGGGCCAAAACCACAAAGATTGGGTATGCCTCGGCATCCCCTATACCTCAATTATAGCTTTTATGATCTTCATGACCCTATGTATTTAATTTACGATCATATTATGTTTGATATCTTAGACAATGGATTTTCTTCATTACTATTAGTATTAATAATAAAGATGCAATATTGCAAAATGAGAGAGATGCATGCATGGCTATGAATTATCAAGTTATATTATTGGTCTCTAGTAGTTTTATATTTTGTTAGGACTCAAAAGAAAGCAAGGTACATATGTCATGCTCGAAGATGTTGGGTTATAAAATAAGGAGACAGAGTTGTATATGTAAGAGATTTCTATACATTGATCATTAATTTTTCATTAGTATTAAGGTTCATTATTTGGCAAATTGTCTTAGAGGATTTAATAAAACAGGTATGTGTGCAAGTAGATTGAGTAATTAGTCGTTCGGAACTGTTGCATGACCTTTTATGTTTTTTCAGTGGCAGCGCCAAACAGAGGCACACCCCAGACGAACAAGATAGCTACACTGTCAAACAAAGAACGAAGGAACGAGGGGCACACCCCAAGAAACGGACATGGCTACCAGGGGCCTGACGCAGCCGCAGGTTCTTTTAATATGCATAGTTGCCTTCTTTTCACCTAATGAAAACAACTTGTGACATTAGTAAACTGCTTGATTATATTGATATGATTGCTTGATAAGGAATGACCTGACCACCGCTTTGATACTTTCAAAAGTGTGTCCTAATTCCCCTAGGAATGCATATTCTAGATATGCTTAGTTTTAACCCATGTCATGTGATGTTAATGAAATAAATACTCACTCTAATCCAAAATAAAGTTTCATGATTTTAGTTTAAGATTAGTTTAAATTTAAACTAAAACCATGACACTTATTTTAGATATGAGCGAGTACTATAAATGTAAGTCCTGAGATTGATACAATCTGCTATGCCCACTGGTACAAAACTTTCAACTATGTAAACGAAAAAGTATGTACAGCTACACAAGCATGTCCTGAAATTCGTGCCTACCCTGCTAGCAGTAATTCTTCTCCATACCTAAAAATAAAGTAAGGTGTGTTTCTTTGATTTTTGTTTTCATCCGTTCAGCAGCGAAAATATTTTTTTTCTATCCGAGATGGTACTAAATTTTTGTGCGTCCGTCTACTACAAAAGGAAAAATGATTTGTCCAGAATTGCATACATGGGCCACGCGCTGTGGCCCAACGAAGCCAACCCACTTATGTTCCTGCCAATGCAGCTAGGAATGCCCTATTTTCCGCATGTGGCCGAAAATAGTCGGAGCTTCGCACAAGGTGTCTAAGACCAGGCCGACCCGTTTTCCTTTTTCTATGTTCTATTTCTAATTTCATTTTTTTGTTTCTTTCTCTTTTTCTTTACTGTTTCTTTTTTACTTTTATCCCTTCCAAGTTTATTTTCCTTTTTCATACATTCCAAATTTTCAAAAAATGTCCAGAATGTCTATTATTGTCAAATTTTCAAAAAAAACATAATTACAAAATTGTGTTCCTCTTTTGAAAGAAAAATGGAACTTTAAATTTTTGTTCTCGTTCGAAAAAAATTCAAAGTTCAAAAAATATTCCCATTTTCCCAAAAAAAATGTTGTGCTTTCAAAAATTCTTCAAGATTTTGCAAAAAAAACTTGCAACTTAGAAATTGTTCCAAATTCGAAAGTATTCTTGTTTTTGTGAAAATTCAAATTGACGGTAAAATATTTTAAATGGTCCCACATTACTCCTTTAAGTATAGTCATATCAGTTTATATATGTCTGCGAAACTACAAGTAGTAAGATGGATGGATTAAGCTCAACGAGGTATGGATGGATTGGTATGCAGGCTAGTTGGAAAGGGACCCAAAATGTTTTAAAAGGAAAAACATGTTCCTTTTTTCAAAAAGGTTTGAGTTTTCCAAAATTGTTCAAATTTTTTGAAAAAAGTTGCATTTTAAAAAATGTTACAAATTCCAAAAATATTCTTGGTTTAGTGAAATATGCCAAACTTCAAAAAAATTGTTCTTGATTAAAAACTACACATTTTATAAAAAAATCTGAATGTTCAAAACATGTTCCCGTTTTCAGAAAAATCACAAATTCAAAAAATTCAATACTTTTATAAAAGTTTCATGTTTTCCAAAATTATTTGTATATTTTAAAAATGTTTTATTTCAAAAAACTCATGTTTTTTGAAAAATATATACATTTTTTAAAAAGTTCGCATTTTTTGAAATTCTTTGGGATTTCAAAAATTATTCATGTTTCCAAGAATAGTCAGCAATTCATAATAATTATTATTTTTGAGAAGTTAAAAAAATCAAAAATTGTTTTGAATCTGACGATGCAGTATGTTCTTAGATACATGAGCTAGCTAACCCTAAATTTCTTGAGGATTGCTACCCGAGGAAAGGAAAAGAGAACACCCGACTACGTGAGCTAGATGCATGGAAAAGAGAAGGTCTGACTCACTCCCATATT